CATTGGTAAGTAGCTTTGATTGTTAGTTGTTTTTGAAGAAATATAAAATAAATTATAAAGCAGTGTAATGGATCAATCCATTTTCTTTTCATTGGGTTAAAATCTCAATTCAAAGGTTTCGTCCCAATTTCTCTTACTTTTATATTTCTAACATGCATGTGTTCTTGTACACATGCGCACATAATCCCAGTGATGTAATTACAAAAATAGAACACATTCAAGGAAACACAAAATTTTAAAATGTGAAAAATTAAAAAAATAAATAAATCAGCATTTAGCCCATATTAATTTTTATTGCCGACCCTAAACAACACTACATAATTACATGTTGAAATGAAATGTTATGATATATACTGATAATTCACATACGTGATTTAGCAAGTAGAGTCATTAAAATGTTCTGGGTAACTGTTTGTGCAGATTTTCACAATCCGCTGCATTTTCAATATGTTGGGATTACATCTTTAAGTTCATTGTGGCCATTGACTGGGATTTAAGCAATGGTGGCCTCTAAATGCCTGAAAAGTCCTAGTTATGGAAGGCTGTAAGAAAATTTGGAAGGATGTGGTTTTGCTCTTACTGTCTCATAAGCTTTTGATTTTCCAGTTGACCCATTTAAAACATTCTGAACTAATGAATAATAAATGACCATACAAATATAAAGTCACATTTCAGAAAGATTCAAGATGGTTGGCAAACAGTAGCTGACTTATAATTATTAGATGCAAGACAATTTATTGTTGGAGTAAGCATTTATTATTTTGGTTTCAGTTCACTTTTGACAGTTGATTGAATGCCTAGTTTCTTTTTTATATGAATTGTAGTCAGTTTGGTTCTTATGTAATAGCATACTTCACCCAAATATGTTGTTAAACTCTGGGCATTATACTTGTAGAATTACAGGCAAACTGGGATGGATGCAAAGAAAAGCAGTGGGAATGAACAGTGGGAATTTCAAAAAAAATACTTGTGGGTATAGATATTCTTCACTGCCTTAAAGGGTACCACATTGAAGAACTTAAGGATCTGTTCTTTGTCACCTCAAAGCACAGCATACAGAATAAAGATTTTAATTTACATAAAGGCACAGACTGATTAAACAGTAAGAAAAATGTTACTGTTTGATCATGAAACCAGGTTCTGTGTGAGAGGTGCTACGTTCCACTCTGTTCAACAAGAGCCATCTCCTAGGGATGCATTAATTTGTGTCCTAGCACTGAGCAGATGGCATGCTTCACTTTAGGGCATGGACTGACATTTAGGATTAATATAATAAAGAGCAGGAATATCTAGATGTTCCCTAAAACTCCCATTGTCTTTTTCATCTGGAAGAGGCAAGCTGACCTTTCTGATTTCTTTAAAAACAACTTAGCTTCTTTCCATGGAAAGCCAGTTACAGTTTCAGGATATCCTTTCTGTGCAGATTAGCTGTGAACATTCTCAGTGAATTTCCACTTTGGTCGGTGTTTAAAAATGTTCAATACATATTCTGTAGATGCTTCTGTCAGTGAGAACTTCCCCTGGATTTCTGAAGGGGATGTTCACATTATCTCATTTTTAAATTTTAAAATATAATAGCGCATATGTTCTCCAGTAAAAAGAAAACACTTCTGTACAAGTGCACATAAAATGCTTCAACAACTTGACTGTCACATCTTCCCACTCAAAATAAATAAAAACTAGTACAAATCCTTGGTAGTACATGTGTAGCATATAAAGCCGGGGGGGGGGGATCCAATCACATAGTCCAGTGTTGGCAAACCTTTTCAGTATTGAGTGACAAAATGGGAGCATGCATGCACACATGCATGCGTGCCAGAAACCAGAACAGCAGCCGCCTGGTGCATATGCGCTGCTCTTTCGGTGTCCTGTGTGTACATGAGCACCGGCCACCTGGTCTTCCAGTTTCTGGCGCACATGTGTCCGTAAAGACCAGTTGCCCAATGTGCATGCACATCGGATGGCTACTTTTTAAAAGTATTAATTCTTTTTAATTTTCGAAACAAACACAACGCATAAAATCTTCCTTCTTTACATACTATAGAAAGTGTATCAGTTGGTTTTCCTGCAGCTCGGTGGGAGGGGCTACAACAGGGTTAAGTCACAACTTGATTGTTCCAGAGACTGAGGGAATTTTCTTAAAGTCACCATCCTTCCCTATTGGCTCCCAGTTTCCTCTCAGTCTCCTGGTCCAAGCACTGGTTTTTGGCTCCTTGAGATACTAATAATTACTATTTTAATTTGATAAA